ATGCCAGTTTTCTAGGAGCGGGGAGGTTACAACACTTAAAATACTATCTGTTGTATGTTGGATTTTCCCTAAACCTGCACTCTTCTAAAAACTGGATCCCTTTGTCAGCTTCCTGTTGACAAAGGGCTGCTGTGTTTGTCTCCTGCTATAGAGACAAGATCATGGAAACGGACGCCACAGAAACAACTCAGATCAGCTGTTTCAGAGGAGCAGTCACTATTGCAGCCCCAGCTATCAGGAACTGAGATGGTGCCTCTAGAAGGACAAACTAGAAATCTTTAGCAGGTTTTCTGGATTGCAACCTTGCTTCCAACTTCAAAGGAGTAATTCTTCCTATAGCAGCTGGAAGAATTGAAGGCATTATCGGTATTAAAGTGCATTTCATCAAAGACTGCGTTTTTTTCAGCCTGTGGCTTTAAATATTTTCATGCACTTTAATCGTTAATTTCCTCTGAAGAAACTATTTTTACTCAACTTTGCCTGACACTTTCTTATTCTTGTGTCTAAAGGTGTAAGAACAAGATCATAGGGGCAGTGGGGAGTGGTCTTTGGGAGGGCAATGCAATGCTGTTTGCCATAGAGAAGCAAAGAATGGAGTGACCTATCTAAGAATCGGTTGACTGATATTTTATTGGGCACAAGAGACTGCACGGCAGTGCTTTGGAATAAAGAGTGTTGTAGAGGTATAAAAAAGTTGCTAAAGATGGAGTTGGCTTCTGGGTATAACACTGTTGGTGTGACATGAGTGGACAAATACTCAGTCTTCAGTCACCAAGAGCCGTACTGTGTCTTTGTGTCAATGCAGTGCTCGGTGTTTAGCCCACGTTAGAATTCCTGTTTGACAGTATTATAATGAAATCATTTGCACAACGTGCACATTTGCTTAAGAGCACAAAAGTGATGTGGATTTCCTGGACCTGTAACTTCACGTGGTGAATTTCTGAAACATCTGTCTTTCACAGGTTGCTTTGTCTCTGTAGAAAACAGCAGCAGAATCCTGCGTGTGTGTGGCTCCTTAGAGGCAGATGGGCCAAAATGCATTGTGCAGTTAACGTTTCCTGCCACTTCTAGTGGGCATCCTGTCTTGCTGTAAACCATTACAAGGACCTCATTGCTTATTGTAATGTGCACGCTGCCTCAGGCAGGTTGGGAAACATACTAAACTCTGTAGAAAAAAAAGATAAAAATGAGTTGTCTCACTTTCAGCCTATATTTTAAAATAATACACGTTTCTGTAAACTATCAATATAGCAAGTTTACTTAATCGGAAATGTTCATCCTTGGATGTGTTTTCAGAGCTTCAGGCTCTTTCAAAAAGGAAGAGAAGATGTGATCTCCATGGACTATAAAGCCTTATCAAATTCCTGATTACCTTTCACCCAGCCCTGTGCTGACCTCACTGCTGTACAAGTGAACTCTTGTATTTCTTGACCTCGTGTCAGTTTATGCAGCCAATGAAGCTGTAACAGCCAACGTTGCATTGGATGCATCCTTCATAGAGGGAATGACTAGTGATAACTCTGAAAAAGCTGCAGACTACAAATGTTGGCAGCACCTTTCATTCCGTAAGATAAACTATGAAACTCAAGATCTCCTGTCTCTCACTTCTGCTCTGAGCAAGTGAAGCTAGGAGGTTTGTCTTTTGGAGACAACTATCTTAATCCTCTTGCTCACTACATGCACAGGACTGGCACCAGAAGTATTGCTTTTCAACTTATTCCCTGTCACTTCAGTTGGGTTCTTCCCCCTGTGCTGGGCAATTCCCTCTGCAGCATTACTGCATTGGGTCTCTGAATTGTAACTAACTTTTCTCACTCCAGCTTCTACTGTTTTCTTGCTTTGTGAAGCCTTCAGCTGCTTTTTCCATCTATGGCTTTGTCCTAAGTGTTCCCAGGATTTGGCAAGGTGCTCCTATTGCACAGAAGGGTCATCTGGTCTATGGTAGTCTATTGCTGTGCTTCTTGCTTTGCTGTGGTAGAGGAGCTTTGAGATTCTCAAGAAATGCAAAATCTGATCTGCCATCCCTGCCTGGAGTCTTAATAAAAAAACAAAAGAGAAATTTTGCTTGTTGGTAGTGGTTTTGATTGCTGTGGGCTGTGACAGCTTGCTTTCAAGATAACCTGCCTCTTCAGCCCTTCCTTGAACCTGCTTCTCTTTAAATCCCTTTCTTAAGCTTGCAGTGTTAGTTTATCATTTGATCTACATCAAAAATGGTCTTAAATGTTTATCTAGTGTCCCCTGTAAAACAGGAGCGTGGCGTTCCTTGTGCTTCACGGTCATGTTACAGACCACCAGTCCCAGCCCCCTCAAGCTGATGGACAGCAGACAGGGACAGGCACATGCAGCAAACAGACATGTCAGGTTGGTCAGCAGATTTAGCAGTGCCCAGGCTGTTGTGCAGTTCTTTGTGCTGTGGAAAAAAGGAGATTTTTGAGGAATTGCAACCTCTCTGCAGTGGGGTCCCTCCTATAGTGCTGAGGTGAGATTAATATCAGTAACCTCTTTTCTGTGTCCTTAGTGCACAAGGCTTCTCTTTGGTTTCACCATCTGAGCCACTTCCCATTTTGGTCACGTTATGTACAGGAAGGCTGTCTGGGGTTTATTTTGTGGGATGTCTGCAGTTCCTTACAAGAGGAAGGACTTACAAGCTGGTTCACAGCTTTGGAGGCCCAACAGTATTTTGGGATCCACTCTTAATAGGTCACAGTGTTTTGTCAGGAAACACTTCAAACATTTACACAATCAGTTATCAACAGATAAGTGCCCTCTCCCTTCTACCTCTTGTGACAGCGAAACCCACCTGCATGTGAATCCATCCCTGTGCAATGGGGAGCCTTTCCAGTGCTCAGTGCTCTCATCTGAGAGAACAGAAACCTTTCACAAGCATCAGTGAAGGACTAGCTGCAGTTTCTTCTCTCTGCTTTGTATGTATGAGCCATGGAGACTCTGAAGGCACAGCCAGACCACAGAGAAAAGACACCAGCAGCTCTCAGTACTTTCCATGCAGGGTTATGGATGCTCAGACCCTCTCCTGTGTGATTTGGTCAAAGGTGTTTGGTTCCTGGCAGGATTGGGAGATGAATGCAGACCTTGTTGCTTCCCAACTCCTCTTCCTCCTCTACTTGAGCACACTTTGCCTGGTTATTGCTCCCTGTGCCCTCTCTGTTAGGCTCCGAGTGCCTCCCACTGCAGGGTGATCTGTCTCACCACTTACCCGTGTAGTTCACAATTCCCCAAAAGGCCATTTTCCTCAGGGGCGTAGGTGGAAGCAAGACTTTCTTGTTCCTCAAATACTTTGCACATTTTATTTTACTGTTGGTTTTTCCCTCTGTTTTTTTTTCAAAGTGTGCTCTGAAGCTGAAGCCAGTACGGGGAGGTGTATCTGTGTCTCAGTTGATTCCCTTTCTTAATCTATTCATGACCCCACTTGCAACTGAGCATACTTTCCATTGCCTCTGTAGCTAGCAAAAGGAGTCTTTGAAATGTGACAAGCAAAAGGGCTCAGACAAAGAACAGATGCTTTATGTAAGTCTACACAAGCCTCAAAGAGCTATTTCTGAAGCGATGCAGCTGGCGCGTTTCTCAGATGGGCTGTTCTGTGGTTAGCTATCAGTTTTGTTCTTCTTTGCTGTATTTAAGAAATTTCATTTGTTGCTCTGGGATTAAAAAGAAAATAAAATTGGAAAAAAAAAAAAAAAAAAAGGAAGACATTTTAAAAGAAAACTGTTCTACTTTGCAACTTCACATCTACTTTAGCAGCACGAACAAAAGTAGGGCCAGGCAGGACCAGGCAAAGCCTCAGAAAGGCGTGACTGCGGCTGCGTCATGGCTGGCACCTAAGGAGTGTTTTCTTCACTTCCTTCTTTGATGTAATATTTTTCGAGTACAGATTTTTGAGATATGAAGTACTACAGCATTTCTAGATTGTGAGAATGTTTGATTGCGAGAATGTTTGATTGTGAGAATGTCAAGTGTTGTTAAACACAAGGAGTCCTCAGAGGAAGAGAGTTAGAGGTAGCTAGAAAGCATCTGTGTGATTTGGGTTTTTTTTGCACTCTTTTTCTGAGAATGCCTGGAAAATTACACTTTCTGGGCAAAGAGAACCACATCTCTGGAACAGCTTTCTTCCCTGCCTTACAAAAGGATTTCCTATGCCGTTAACTCTTCTGATTGCTCATCATTTGCTATTTCAGCTCATTTAGCACTTGTAACACCATCACCCTGCATCTGAATAATTCTTGCTAGGCAATACTCTGATAGTATGAACTATTTGGGAGTAATTCTGTGCTAGTCTAGGGTCAACAGTACAGAGAGATAAGGGATCAATAGAATCATTGGTAGAGGTGAGATGTGCAGAATCTCTTAACATACCCTGGGCATCCTGTCATAAAATGTCCATATTTCTGACACCAATAATATACAAAATAAAAGGGGAACACCAAGTGCTCTGTGTGTGTGTGTGTAAGCGGGAGGAGGGACCCTTTTACATCAAAAAATTACTATGAGGGTCATCTGAGAGCTGACATCTCTTAAATCCCTGCTGTGAGTTCACTCGAGTCAATCTACTATGAGGGTCATCTGAGAGCTGACATCTCTCTTGAATCCCTGCTGTGAGTTTGCACATTTTGATGAGATGTGACATGTTCACATAGTGAGCACCAAAGGCCAAGGTGGACAGTACAAACAAATCCTGGTGGCTTTTCCAACAGATCCTGTTGTTCTAGGTATACTAAAGGTGTTGATGGATGGAAATTAAGACACTGCTAAAAATTACTTCTCAGTAACATAAGTTTACCTTTTAGTAGGTCTTTACTTCTGCAGTTTTATTAAAATGTTGTTGGCATGCGCCTTGAAACCTCAGTTAGGAAATCCACAATAGAGTCACTTTGTCTCAGCAAGCGTAATGAGACATGCAGACCTGGAGAATCATCAGAGGAAGAGAGCAGCTTTTGCCTGGTATCTCCAGTCCTCCTCCTCCTTTCACCTTAAAGCTGGGAACAATGAGATTGCTCTGGTATCTACTCTTCCTAATGAGTGAGTCTTATCTCTATATTTATTTTACATATATTAGAAAATAAAAGTCCGGAAACAAAGTAATTTCTGAAGACTCAGACTGGTCCCTTAATGTGAGCCAGTGAAGTGATTCTTAGGTAGAAGGTTCAGGATGTTTGGACTTGTCTGGAAACTCCTTAGTTTGCGATGTGTTTTTCTACTATTTCAGAGAAATTAATAGATTCGGGTGGAGAGAGTTTTATAATTCATCCTCAGTAGGAGAAAAGCAGCTGCTGGGTGAAATTATACTCTCACATACAAAGCTAACAAACTGTGTTCAGCCTTTTATAGGTTTTTATTTGTTTGTCTCATAGTGAGGGTACAATGTAGTTGAGATTTTCTTATTTTCTTCCCTTTTCAGTGTCATTTTAGATACAGCTTGGATTAAGCAGTACGTGCTTTCAGAGGTTTATTTCCCGCAATCTTTTGACTTGTTGATCTCCTAACAAAAGCTCTAGAACATGTAGGATTTCTTAAAAAGAAAATTGAGAAGAACTTTATTTGAGAGTAAGTTTGTGTAAAGTAAAGCGTTTCCTGAGTCAGTCTGTATCCAATGTCATTCTGTCCTGTGGCCTCATGGGGACAGTTCTGTCATTAATTTGTCTTTTAGCTGCCCAGAAAGGTTAACACTTACACTGCTTCTCCATTAGCTCAAGCGATGGACAGCTGCACTGAGGATGTTACTGGCCCCTCTTCCAGCAACTCCACAAATAAATGCTAGCTTGATTCTGTATGACAGAATTTCTGTTTGGCTGGTTCCCTCTTCAAAACACTCAATACTGTGTATACCTCCTCCAGCTGTGCTGAAAGAACGTTATCCTCAAAGTGTTCATTTCATGCCCTGATCAGCCTCACAGACTTTCTCACAAGCTTTACAGTTCCAGTGTGTTTGGGAAAAAATGTTATTAGTTTTATTCCTTTAATGAGATGCTCATCAAAGTTCTCTGTAGCTTGCTTTGCTGTGATTTTAGATTTAACATCAAGCTTACACTCTACTGTTTCCCTTATTTGGGTTTAACTTCTACTTGTTGTATGATGATGTTATATTTCTACTAATATCTTTATTCTCATGTGTGTCATTATGCTAGGTAACTTCCAGCTTTGGAAACATCAATCCTTAATGGATATGCCCACAGAAGTTACTGATATTTTTTTAAATCTTGACCTTTCTTGATTTGGCTTGTGCAAAGTTAAGGTGGAATTGTTGGTGGAGGCTCCTGTGCTTGTGTGCTTCTGTAGATGTTTAAAGTTGCTCTTCTCTAACAACTTTTTTTTTTTTATTATTTGTGGGTTTTACTGATGAAAGTATCAGTACAGAAAAATGGAGCTGTCTGACCTGGTGGGTCTCTGTTATATTCTTAGAGTGAATCTAGCAGATCTGTGCTGAGCATCTAAACCCTGCAGATAATCTGTCTGTATAGTTGGCTAATCTGCAACACACACTTTTTTTTTTCTCTCTCAGTTTAAGTACCGTGCACTTAATTTCAATAACTAAAGTGCTAAAACCCTGTGAGTCATCTGTGTTGGAAATCCCTGTGTGCAGGCAGTTGGGAGCAAAAAATTCAAATAACTTGGCTTGGCAGGATGGCAGCAGCAGAACTAAGCAGGGAGTTGAGCAGCCTCTGGTTCCCAGGCCAAATGCCGTACGGGCACAAGATTCTTCACCAGAGTGGGGTTAGCTCCCTGGCTGTTGTTTTTTCTTTTCATTGCCTGCTTGAGAATTGCCCCTTATTTCATAGTTGGTTGAATTTTCCAGGGAGCCTGTTCTAGAATATCTGGAATTGTGTTTTTTGTTTTAAAGGAAGTTTGCTGGAAGCCTTTGTAAATTATTGTTAGGCTGGTGCTCTTACAGTGGAAACACACACAGATGCCTGGGAACATCTGAGAGTTAATTTAGGTATTTTAACTGGTAAAATGGGATTTGCAAAGCAAGGCTGTAATTCAGGATGGGCTGCCTATGCTCTGAAAGGGATGCATGCCTTGTGCCTGAGGTATGGGACATTTCAGGAGGCAGAAGCAAAGACTCAGAGTTCACACTGTTTGCCTGTTTCATGGCACTGCCCCGATCACAGTATTTCTCTTCTTCCATCTGTGCTTTCATAGCTGGGCTGGGAAATGACATGGAATTGATTGCATAAGCTCAGATTCAGCTCTGAGTAAAATCAGAATCAGGAAAGACTCTGGATGGACACAAGGACAGAATTTGGCCCCTTGTTAGTACATCAGAGCTTATATTAAAATACTAGACTGCGTGTTTAAATGCAGCTTCTAGAGCTGGAGTCTGGGCAGTCGGAGCGTGGCTTTTAGGCTGGAGTAACTTGTAAAATTCAGATTTTGTACTTTTCTTTTGTTCTAATTTCAAACAGGGGATAGATTTTGTGACTGGAGTCTCTTGGGCTTTTTCCTGAGATTAGTGTGAAGTTTTGAAAGTTGTGTGATTGGCAGAGGTTTGGTGATTCAGTACAGCTCACTGCTTGAATTTACAGCACTTATCATAGGAGCTTGCCTTTCACGCATCCTACTTTGTGACATTTTCAGTCTGTCACTTAGTTTCAAATATATTTATTTTCCCAGCCTGTGCATTTACTGAAGTGTTAACATGCTTACAGAAATCAAGAGCTGAGGTGTGAACAGCAATACGGGTTGGCTTGCCACAAAGTCTTACAGCTAAAACGCCAGTATCAGCCCCTTTTTTGTGGGCTGCCTTGCAAGAAGGAAGTGCATTCATGAAAAAAAAAAAGTTATCTTTAGGCTGCCAATTCAGTTACAGCTCTGTGTATAATGGGTAGAAGTTTTTCCTTTTTTTCAGTGACTGTTTTATATCCATTTTGAGAAGTTATTTGACTTCTAGCAGAGCTGCATCCTCAGCAGAGGATCCATCACATTTGGTACCAATTTGCTCCCTTGCTGCCAAGCTTTGAGCTTTTAGTGAACATCCCACAAGATCTATGTTTTCCTCTTATTGCCAGGTTTGTGACAATGCTATTCTTGTGGGGAACAATGCCTGCTGCTACCTAAACTGCTTACGCTTTGATCTAATGGGTTTCAGTGGCCTGGTCTGTTAAATGTCAACTTTACAAGAAGTGAATCCCCTGGTGCCACCCTGAAGTGGCACGCCACTTGCACAAGCCCTGGAGTTTTGTTTCCTCTCCTACCTAAATGCAGGCTTGTGAGCTTCAGCCAGGAGGAATGGTTTGTGATATCCAAGATGGACTTTCATAACAGAACAACAGGAAGTTGTGTGACTTTATTTTCATAAGGGTGGGCAGGAAAATCCTTTGTTAATCTAAATCAGTGAAATCTCCATAGCTTGGTATCTCCCTCCCACCAGCTGCCTCTGCTGTGGTGGTGGGCAGGGTTCAGGGATATCTGGCTCAAGAGCCTGGTAACTGTGACTCTACAGATCACAGTCTGCACTCATTTGTTTATTTGTTTTCAGTGGTCAAGTCCTTGAGGAGTTTTAACGTTGACACTGGCAAGACATGGATCACACCACACACAGCCTCTTTGTTGTGGCCCACGATTCTTCAGCACTCAGATGGGAACACAACCATGTAAGGAACAGAAGAAAGAAAAACAGACCCAGACTTCCCAGGTCTTTATGAATGAGTGTGGACAGAGGTCACGTAGCTTCTCACTTTCTACAACTGTTAGCACAGGTTCCTCAGCCTGGGACCCAGAGTTGTTCTTCAGTTCTCAGGGGCTGATGAGCAGTGTTAGAGCTTCACTGGTGTCAGGTGTACATTGTCAGCCTGTGAGTCTTTACGATATTTCTCCCCTCACCCACTGCTGAGTTGTGGCACTGTACAGAAAGGGTGTCTGCTCATTTAACCCAGTGGCAGAAACAAGCAGCTGGGTTTTTGCAATACTTCCTGGCGTGCTGCATCATTTCTGGAGCTGCAGCAATCACAGCACCCACCAGCTGTCAAATGTTATGTGGTGAGCTTGGTCTGAAGACCATGAAGAGCTGGAAACTGCTGTACTTTGACTATTGGGTCTGTAGGGGAAGAGAAAGGCATGACTAGGCTGGTGAATAGAAGCCAACCACAAGTGGTTGCTATAGAGATAACCTATATTATGCTGAGCAGATTGCTTAGGCTGTGTAGCAGACAGTGTATTTTAAGTTTCAGAGTAAAGAAGCTTTCTACCCCCTGAGCAGAAACTGGCTGACTCAAAGAACAGTCTCCATTTCACACAGCAGTGCTGCCATTTCCTAGTATGGAGGTTGGACTTTCTTGCTGCACCTCCAGCCTCCCTTTCCCTCCAGTTTTTTATGGCCAGACCTCTTCCTTGGTCTGGGATAGCTCTCCTGATTTCATAGTTCAGTTAATGATGATTTGTAGGAGAAAATAAGTGTTTTCCTCTTAGTGGCTGAGTCAGCTCAAACCCACCCTGGAGTCCAGTTAAGAGACATTGTCAGAATAATGGGTGGCCACCCTGGCACACAGATGATTGGTTTCCACTGCACTGCCAAAGGACTCTGCCTCATGGTGCCACCTTCCCTCTTTTCCACCTTTTTTCTCATTCTACAGGATTTTGGCTACTTCCTCAGTAGACAAGGGGCTGGGCAGGCTGAGGAAATGCACTGTTTTGCAGCAGGAAATCCAGTGCCAGGAGATACCTCTGCGAGGTACAGTCCCGTTTCCCTTTCCCAACACTTGCTTTGCCATGAGCATGAGGACGTGCAGAGGCTGGATGTTTCAGAGAGAGCTGGGCACACTGCTAGGTCCTGTAGATCAGCATTTCAGAGAGAGAAATGCAAAGACACAGTCCCAGTGGTTGGGAGTGTTGGGTCTGGAGGCTGCAAGACCTCTTCTGCTGCAGCTTAAGTCTTCACCTAAATTCTAAAGCCAAAGTTTTTTGATTCCTACACACTTATTACTGCTATAGTTGCTGATAACATGAATTCTGACTCCTTCTAGGAGAGCAGATATAGCTGAGCTCAGTAGTTGTAGCCTTTCTCTATTTATTCTCTCTGTCCAAGGCTGACAAGTACCGTATCCATTTCAATTCTGTTCTTCATTCATTCAATTTCAGGAAAGATTAAAGGCTCCAAAAACATCCAGGATGGTGGCATAGCTATTGACAGGAATTCAGATTGGATCCTGGTAAGGGACTGAAAATATCCATGGCTGGGAACAACTGTATTTTTCCAAAATGCTGTGTATTTTTTCTGGGAAATGCAAATGAGCAAACATAACAGAAGGACAAAGGCTGAAAGCTCTTGGCTGGGTACTGGCTGGTTGGAAAGCCAGCTGGTGCATTGCCAGCCAGGAGGGAAAACTGAGAAGGGCCCTTCTCATCAGCTGAGGACTACAGGGGACCTTGTACTTCACTGCAGCCACCCCTGCTCATAGGGAAAGGAAGGATTGGCAGAGGAGGCTTAGAAGAGCCACTGGTTTGGAGGTTAACACCTCCATCTGGTGAGCCCTCCAGCCCCACTCTGCTTCAGCGCAGGGCTGGAGGTGGCAGGGGTCACATCAGGGAAGGTGCTTTGTTACTGTCACTAGGCTTTTGGTGCTGTGCAAGGGATGCTGAATGTTTGTCAGATGGCATCTCAGTCATCCTCTGTCTGTGGCTTTGCTCATTGTTCATTAGCCTTCCCCATCATCCCTACAGGCTTGCCTGCAGAAGAAGCACCGCCGAGCCTTCACCACTACCGAGGACATGAACGGAGTCTGTACTCTGCTCACCACTGAATTGCAGAGCACAACTTTCCTCAACCTCACCAAGATAGGTACAGGGGCAGAGCCAGTACTGTGCCTTTGCAGAGGGACAGAATAACAGCACGAGGCTTTGCTCTAACCGCAGGGGCCTTCCGAGTCCCTAACCAGCAAGGTCTGTTGTGTACTGGGAGAGACCTAGAGCTGAATTTTATCATGTATTACAGTGACTTCAACAGGGTTACAAGGTTCAGCCTTGAAGATTAGCACACAGCAGCAGAGATTTTCTCTTGTGGTGTTCTGTGTGTCAAAAAAACCCAGCTCTTAATTTGCTCTTCTAATTTAGAAAAGCATCAACTTTCTTAGTGAATGGATGTGACAAACATCCACTAGGATTTTTAGAAGTGTCTGGGCACTTGAGGCTGTTTCTTCCAACTTAACTGGGCTACTGGACATTTAATCAAGGGAGCAGAGAGCTGGTCTGATTGTCTAGCCTTGGTCTGCTTCTTGCTGCCACCGCAAAGAAGCTGACAAGTTTAAATGAGACACCTAGATGGTCTCATCCATCTTCAGTTGTCTAACTGCTGTCAACAGCCTGATCCCCAGGTCTTCTGCAAATTTGGGAACCTGGGTGGAAACAGATCCTGAGTTTAAGATGTATTAATTAGAAGAGTATTTTCAAAAGGTAGAGTGATTTCTTTTCTTGCTTTTTAAAATCTGTAGTTGAGACCAGATTAAACGGCATTCAGAGTATAAACAGCAAAGACAAGAGTACAGACACCAGCAGCTCTGTCAGCACAGACACCAGCAGTGCTTGTGGTGAGCTCTTTGGCAGTGCAGGGAACAATCACATGTGCAAAGGTAGGTACTGGACAGGAACAAGCATTGCTTCCTTCTGTGTTAGCTGAGTTTGAAATAGCTTGCATTCATCTGGTGGGAGAGAGCTGAGGAGGGAAGAGGTTGAGGTTTTGAAGGTTATTTGTAATGGTAAATGTCAATCATTGTTAATAGTTATCATTAACTGAGATTTTTTTAAAAAAATAAAACCTGTCACTACAGCACAGACCACATCATTGGCTAAACCTGCTTTCAGAATGGCTGGGTGGGGCTGTAGTCAAAATTTTGGTTGTTTAATTAATACGTCAATGTTCTTGAACCCTTGCTAAATGTTAGGCTGATTAGGTGTCCCTTCAGATGGCCTTTTATATTTAACTGCATTGACAGAACTGGGAACAGAGATTGCTGTCATTCTGGGTGGATCAGAGAACACCAAGCCAGATGATTTCCGAACCGCCAAGACCTCTATCCTCAATATGATGAAATCAATGTGGCAGAAATGCTCAAAGGTGTGTAAACCTCCTCAGAGTTTCATAATCTGATAGCCAGGGTGGATTAGAGCTCTAATGAAGAATAGAAAGTCTCCTGGTTCACCTAATTATTGCTTTTTAAACTTCACAGTGATGCTGGTAATAAATCTAGGAGGAGTAGCTGAAGAGGGAAATAGAAGAGCTAGGAGTGGGTTTTCATGCCAGAAGCATGCTTAGATATTTTACCAGGCAAATCTCTCAGGGCACCTTGAAACAGTGCACATAAAAATAAGGGATGGAGCTTATAAGCCATTACTTTAAATGATTTAAATAAATCTGGGGACAAAGTGAGGCTGAGCCATGTGATCACAACAGGTCTAGCCAGATAGATAAATACAGGAACTTCAGACAGAGAAATCATTATCTTAGGCCAAAGAAAATGAAGTCAGTTCCTGGAGCTGATCCAAAAGGCATCACCAGAATACAAATGTGTGATGAAAACAGGGATGAAGACAATTGATGTACCTATTACTTGCAATATATGCCTTCTGTGTTTGTGCAGTAAGCTTTGGGACTAAACTTGGCACTCTGAGGGGCTTAGGGATTCTACCTTAGATCTTATCTAAGCAGCTCTGGCTTTTCCATCTGCTTTCTCCAGATCAGGTTTGCTGTGGTGCAGCGTGGAGCACAGATCCAAACTGAACTGAGCCTGCAAGAAAGCTGCAGCCAAGTAACTGCTTTCTTCAAAGTCCGAAACATCAAGCAGCAGAGCTCACCGACTGACATTGCAGCTGCACTGCAGCACGTGTTGTGAGTTCACATGTCTCAAGAAGCTCCAGGAACACTCAAGTCATTCCTTGTGTTTCATGTGCATCAATCCAGCCTCCCGCACCTCCTCGCTACTCTTCTTTCTCTCACACTCTCAAAGCCCTCACTTTTCCAATCCTTCTCTTAGTGACAGGCTCTGCCAGCTGAGGCCTGTGAATGAGTCTGTCTGGGGAACCATCAGGCCTAGAAGGAAAATTGCCAAGGGGCAAAGTATGAAATCCTTCCTGGCCGACACAGAGGCTTCAGAATGAAAGTTCAGTCACTTGGGTCTTGCTTTAAGCAGATGTTCAATTGCAGACCCAAGGCCTTTCCCATCTTTTTCACTGATCTGCTGCATCTCTGGGAGTCATGCTTTCCCTCTTGACTCCATTTTCTTCTCAGTAGCATGGCTCTAACATTACTGGCCTGCCCTGTAAATGTGCCCTGTATGCTGCTTGTGAAAGTGCTCATGAAGTCAGAGCTACCAGTTGTGGACAGGCAGTGTCCCTGGAAAGCATAAATCCCTGTGCACGTTTGCCTTGTGCACAGCCTTGTACTCTTGTGGACTGAGAGCTCGATGAACATCAGCACCCTTCCACCAACACTGGCATTTCTAGCTCTGCAGACATACCCTGTCCCATGAAATACCTCTAGGCTTCTGTTTCCACAGGGATAAAGTCTTTGAAAGCCATGACTCCAGCCAGACTGGTGACAAAATAATCATAGTCATGGCATCTGGGCATGTGTTTCTGGAAAACCATAGACTGAGAAATGTGATGAACTCGCTGGAAATGGCTATGGTCAAACTCTATGCTCCTGAGGTGAGTGGGAAGCACCATCAAAGTCATACTTTTTTGCATCAAAGCACATCTGTAGGGGACAGATGTTTCCATCCATCCCATGTGTCTGCTCTAATGCTTTAACAGTGAATGGAATAAAAAGTAGTCACACATTAGACTTGCAGGATGTCCAATCTGAGATGTCCTGGCTCCTTTGATTCACTCAGGCCTCCATCTTCTTGATGTTTATTTTGAAGGAGGTTAAGGAACATACCCTAGAAACAAAGATGCTTAAGTTGTCTGTGTCCTGTGGCTCTAGAGCTTTTATTATTCTTTTTTCCTTTGCAAATGAGGGCATTCTATGGAATCTATGATCACAGTGGCTTTACCAAGCTTTCAGAAACCTCCCTCCCTTGTCAGAGCTTTCAAGTTTTTAAGGGCAATTTGGGAATTTGTTGGTTTTTTGATCTGTGTATGAAGCGTGTTCGATCTCCCTGTCTGTTGGCTTTTCTCCCTAGATTGGAGAGTTCATAAGCAACCAGTGGGTCCCAGAAGAGCTGCAGAAAGTGAGAGGTGACTGGTTCATGATGTCCACATATGAAGATTTTGACAGTTTCCTTTTGGACTTGGAGAGAGAGACTCTGAGTGATTCAGGTAGAATAAATCCCACTCCTGACACATCTGTCTTTTCTGTAACTTATGGAGTGGATATGTGATGTGGGTAGTTTCATTGCTCAAGGAATGTAAATACATCTCCAGATCTTACCTGTTCTCTTACACAAGTTACAGTCCTCCTCAGCCAGCCAACTGGGAGGACAAGAGATCATAATTCAGTATCTGTGACCTGCAGCCATAACATCAGTACAGAAATAGGTGCTTTACAGTACACACATTCACTGCATGTTCAGTGTTTCTGTTCTGATACTTAACACTTCTGGGTGTCATTAGAGCAGTTTATTTCTTTTGAATTGTAGCTGTAGTTTTAAGATGCAGTCCTGATCCCCACAGCCTTCAAAACCCACAGGTGTTCCCATAGCACCTGTAATCTTGTGCCTGAAAGCAACATTAACTGCAGGGACAAAGAAATGTTCAGCTGCCAGGCAGCAAGGTGCAGGAACACTGCGTGGGCAATAATGCAAGGTTTTAGTTCACCTTTTGCTTTCTCTCCCACTGCCCTGTCATCTTTGGTCAAAATTGTTTCCTGTTTCAGCTGAAAATATTCCAACTGAAGCACCAGAGCACCGAAACACTAATGACAGTGGTGACAGCAAGCTCCCTTCCTGGATAGAGGAGGACAAAGAGGAGGAGGAGGAAGATGGCTTGCGTACGTGGTGAAGTATCTTTTGACAGAATCATGCCATGGACTGTCACAGACTGACAAAGTCTGGGGAGTTGCTGTACTGTGAGCTGCCAGGCTTGAGCTGAAGCTCATGCTGAAATGACAGCTGAGCAGTCTTGGTGCAGTTCAGTTGCTTGATCAAGTGAGATTACTCGTGTGCCATTGATAACACTGGGTAAAGAACTTGGTCCTGATCAAGACTGCTCATTGCCTTCTTATTCCTTTACTTTCCATATCCTGGGTAGCTTCTGGAAGAGAGATTGCTTTTATTCTGGATGGATCAGGGAGCATTGAGCCAGAGGATTTTGAAAGAGCAAAAGCATTCATCTACAAGATGATGAAAACACTGTATGAGAAGTGCTTTGAGGTACTCTCTAATCTCTTTCTGTAGCAGGCTAAAGAGTGTGCTGTGCTTCATTTAAGCTGCCTCTTCACCAGAATTTGGGACTATGCATGTTTGTTTCCATTAGGATGGAAAAGCACTTCCACAACTTGCATGTGTTCTCAACATAATTTTGCTTACATCTTAGCAGCACATCCCCAGTCTTGATTCCAAGAACACTGTAGATATAAAAAGTCTGGTCTGTATGTTCAGAAATCCCTAGCCCTGCTGCACTGCCATGCCTGGAGCCCAGTGAGCACCATCTCTGCTTTCTTGTAAGGTGACAGTCATATCTTTCTTCTGGTTTCCTGTCTCTATTCCTATATTGTAACATCTGTACCTGCAATCACAGAAGCCCCAATTAGGCTGCCTCTTCAGCCATGCACCTTACTGGTCTCCTCAGCTGCAGCCATATATTCTGCATGAAGGTACTTTACTGCTTTCTCTGCCGAGGCTGAGAAGTGTGACCCACACACCGACTTTAGGAAAGTCTCTACCTCTCAAATGCTCCAAGCATCAGTGTATTTTAATTGTTATTTGCATAGTGGAAGAAAGAAACATTATGTATGTGTTATGCAAATACAAAATGAAGAAATGGTCCCATTCTCCAAACTGTCTTTGATCAGATCATCATGGAATAGGAGTACTCCAAGGAAAGACAATGTGCAGCAGGGAGCAATGAAGGAACTAGTCAGTAATATCACAGATAATCCCCTCTGCAACCTGCACATGGGCCGAACACAGCAGGAAAATGCAAGGACTTAGAAACAAATCAGTGTTTCCCAAAATGATTTTTCTCACTGTACTCATGGTGCTTTCCTTTTCCTCAGCTGTACTACACTTACAAATATCTCTGTGTCTGCACTAGACATATTTAAAAGCCACTTTCTCCTGAAAAAAATCTGCCTTTCTGCATAGTCTGGCTAATGTTTCTGCTGGGATTTCTGGGCTAGTTGTTGCAGAGAACCCTCTTTCTCTGAATCCACAGTTGTCACAAGCAGGTGCTTATCTGCTGCTTCCTTCCAGTGTGATTTTGCAGTGGTACAGTACGGGTTGGAAATCAGAACTGAGTTTGACCTGCGAGAGAGCTGGGATCCTCCTACCACCCTCCAGAAAGTACTTGATATTGTGCAGGTGTGCAACGTGACAAAAACAGCATCTGCCATGCAGCATGTCCTGTAAGTAACAAAGAAAAGAGCACAAGGAATGAAGGGGATTAATTTCTGGGGCATTTCATGGGGAAGGGAGAGGGACTTCTATGGACATTCTGGTCCTGGAAGCAGTCATTTATCTGGCAATGGTTGAACAGCAGGCAGCAGTTCCTGTGCCATGTTTTAGAGGGTTATAAAAGCCAGCTGTCAGTGCCTAATTCTTGGTGTGGGGCCACTCGGGAAGCAGTAGAAAGGGAGACAGCACCTGGTATTTTTAAGATGTGAATATGAAAGAAATTCTCTTGCCTCCTTGCTGTGACTATTAGAATTATACAAGTGCATAATTCAATAAGACTTTTCCTTCTATCCAAAGGAGTGAAGCTTCAACTCAAGACTCTTCCCTCTATCTCAAGGAGGAAAGCTTCAACTTTCATCCCAAGTTCTTTGTTTTGATGTTTTACCAGGGATTCTATCTTCAATGAAAGCCACGGGTCCCGCAAGGATGCAGCCAAGGTCATGATTGTGCTTACAGATGGGGAAATACTCCTGGATGAAATGAACTTGACAACAGTGATAAATTCACCCAAAATGGCAGGAATCGAGCGCTATGCCATTGGGGTAAGTTGGGAATGTACTTGGATCGTATCTTCCTTCCATTTCTTGGTAGCACTGGAGGCAGAGAAAAAGAGAAACTGATCCATGCATGTTCCAGTAAATAAGGGAAGAGGCATCTATAAAATAAGGAGGTGAAAGATAAAGCTACAATGATATGAACTGATACTATTGTCTCTGTAGTGTCAATATATGCCCATGTTTGTTCCTTCCTACACCTGCTACATTCAGCGCCCTGTATCCACTTACTCTCAGACTTTTCAGAATAGTCTTCCTTTCTTCTTCATTGTCTCATTCTTCCTTGTACAAAGTTGAGAAAAATCTTTGAATCTGGAAAAGTACTTAACCTTAGTTAAATTTAGCTCCACAAAGTGTTATTTATATTTCTTTATCCAGGTTATTCTGGAAAATGTCAGTGAAAAATAAAAATTAAAAGGTTTTCTGACCTACCCATCCAAGGACAAAATGGCAGAATGGAGGGGTCATTGTTCATTGCTGGTTATCAACTAGAGTCCTCCTGACCCAGAACTAGGCCAAGAATTTAAAGCTACCTTCTAGATGAAGTGCATGCTTAAAAAATTAATTTTTTTAGAACAAAACTCCTGCTATATTCTTAACCTGGCCAGCAAATTAGCCTGTGTGTTAGTTTGTCAACAAGGCTTTGTCCTGAAGTCTGAAGTTTGGTTTCAGACATGCTATATGTCTCCTTAGATAATCTTTCTGCTTTCTCTTTTCATTCTTTCAGGACAGGAAAATGTTCAATTTTATGATGTCTTGTAACTTGTTGATTTCCAAAATTAATTGTTGGGTACAACACCGAATAGATCACCAGCCAGTTACACGAAGAGGTTTTGTAAAGGTTTGTCTCCAGGAGACACTGAGACTGTCCAGTTCATTGGCTGTTTCTGGGTTTACACATAGTGACTGAAGCTGAGGTTTTTTACCCCAAACTGTTGAATGAAGTAAGTGGGGGTAAGAAGACTCTAAAGATTGCTTCTATTGATTGATTTGTGTCTCTTCTGCAGGTGGGAGATGCCTTCAAAAAACCAAAGGCCCTAAATGAATTGCGGCTAATTGCATCTGGTCCAGGTGACACTAATGTATTCCAGGTGACCAATTATTCTGCATTAGATGGGCTGCTTTCAACCCTGCAGCAGAGCATTATTGGTATAGAAGGTAAACAGCAGGCTTTTTATTTCATTACTCCCTTTTGAGAAGTAAGGAGAAAGTGGCTTACCCTGTTTCTATTGCATCCTCAGGTACACAGGGTGATGCTCTGGAATATCAGCTTGCACAGGCTGGTTTCAATGTGCAGATCTTGGATAAGGTAAGTGGTTTGCATTTAACCCTGCTAAATGGTTGTGTGCTGTGCTGCTGCTTCAAAACTTGTAAGGAATTAGGAGGTGTCCCACAAGAAAAGATGGGGATACAAAAATGTGAGACCCATGTAGTCAAATCTCCTTTGCAAGCCACTGCTTGCTTTGCATGTGTCAGATAAATAAAAATATCACTTTTATATAGTCAGTCAGTAGTGAATTTTATTTTAGGATGGGATTTATATCGTGTGACCCCTGTTCTAACCACTGGATGCTTTTTATTCCGCTGGGTGAAAGAGCTGTCTCCAGTTGACAGCTTTGATTTTGCTGGCATTCATCTCCAGTGCACAAGTCAGAGACTCTGTCACGTTGCAAACAAAATAATTCTCCTCTTTCAGAATTCTCTGGCTTAAAACCTTGGTCCACCCAGGACAAGAATGTTCTCTGTCCTTGTCAGGAGGGGAAAATAGTGGATTGTGAGGAGGCTAATGAACATTCAGCAGCCTTGGCTGCAAGGACAACACTGATCCAATTTGGGAGGATAAAAAAAAAAGTCATGTAGTGAGCTGGGAGATGTGCAGCTGCTTCTCTGGTGCTGGGCAGTCACCTTGTCTGTCTTCAATATCTGTCAGGAGCTGGTAGAACTGCCTAAGCTACAGGGTCCAGGAAAGAGTGCAGGAGTTGTAGGCCAGAAAACATTGCTTCTTACTAAACTGCTTTGTGGAGTGCTGGAGGTCACTAGTGCTGGGAATTGCCCTGTGTTCATCTCTTCTAATTTGCATTATGTTGCTTCTGCAGCGAGTCTTAATGTTTGGTGCAGTGGGGGCCTTTGACTGGTCTGGTGGAATTCTGCTGTATGACCTGGCAACCAAGACAGCTGTTTTCCTGAATGAATCTAAAGAGGAAGCCAAAAATGCAAAATACAGTTACCTAGGTAATCAACTTACCCCTCTCAGAGATCAGACAACCTGACTGCAGTTTGTGTTTAGTGCAGTGTGCTGACACCGACAGCATTTACCTGAAGAAGGCCACCTCCTGCAGCATCTTACTGAATTTTGAATACTTTATCTAGCAGGGAGAGAGATTTTGATGAAAATACTCCTTCTCCTTATAGTTGGGAAGATGTGGCTTGTTTTCTCTTATGAGTTATGATGCCTTGTGGTATTACTCTGTTAACACATGGTTGGTTTCACTGTGAAAGAATACTTGCAATGAAGAGCATTTTTGAGAGCTGATAAGGATAAATATTTCACTTGTTGTGAGTGTCTGGAGAAGAAACAGCTTGTGAATCAATACTGTTCTTGGCTTGGTGACAAATAAAGCCTTGGTTATTCACCCCAGCACTTTGTAGCCTCATGAGCCTGGTATGTCCTGACTGTAGCCTTGGCCTGAAAGTCTTAGCAGGTAATGAGAGGTGCTGTGGAGTGTTTGTGTCAGGATAATCCTTCTCCCATTACCTCTCTGTTACAGAAGGCCCATAACAGATCTCTTTTTGGTTTCTGTACAGAGTATAGTGTTTTCTTCACTTCTGTGAAGGGTGATAAACTTAGAGGTAATAATTAAAAAGGAAAAAGCATGCATGTTGGATAATCACTCAGGAGCAAATGCTTAGAAAGTCACCAAGAGTTCAAGCAGGTTTTTCAGAGCAGCAGTTTATACAATTACCTGACAAACCAAGAGAGGAAAACCTCAGCTTTGCTGGCTTTTCTCTCAGAAAAATTACCTCCTATTTCCTAATCCATATTTTAATGAGATAGTCTGTAATCAAAATCATGGGCCATAACAACTAGACATGGTGCAAACTCTTGGATCTCATTGAATATGTAGGTCTATGTCTCAGACCAAACTCTGTGGGCTTTTCCCTTCAGGCGTAGAGTACGGTAGTGATCATACCTGCTATTTTTGCTTCTTGTGTCAATTAATCAGGGTACAGTGTGGCAGTGGTACACACAGAATATGGACGCCTGTATGTGGCTGGAGCTCCACGGCACAGCATGAGAGGGAAGGTGTTGGTGTTTCAGGACGGCCACTTAAAACAAACCCTGCAAGGAGAACAGGTACTGTGCTTCCCTCACCCAGGGGTGGTCAGGTCAGGGGGGGTCAGGTGGGCTGCACACATCTCATTTGCTCAAACAGCAGCTGCATTTTCTCCTCCAGACACACACCCTTACACCTCCATCCAGTTTACCAAGTTGTGGATTTCACAGTCTTTGTTCACTACATAATGCTTTGGGAACATCAGAAGAAATCAGGAAATTTGGAAAAAGACTGGGAAGAAATTTAGCTAAATGGGGTGTTCTATATTTATGTTCTGTTCTCATGGCTCCTGGGGAAAGAGGTCGTCAACTGTGGTATTCTTTTTCCTCTGTCAAATTGTTGAATAATGATTTTGTTACTGCTAAACTGGTTGCAGGATCTGTCCCAGAGGATGGCTGTAATAAAATAAATAATAGGGAAATGATCCACATATAAGTAGATATGTGATGTTTTGTTCTAAAAATTGCCTTACTGCTGCAAAGGACACTAATTCTACAAAGCTATATATAGAGAATTCCAGTGAAAGAGCTGTTTGTCTTTTTCTGGAGCACAGGTTGGATCTTATTTTGGATCTGAGCTCTGCCCACTTGATGTGAACCGTGATGGGCTGACAGATCTTCTCCTTGTTGGAGCTCCATTTTATCACATTCGAGGGGAAGAAGGAAGGGTTTACGTCTATCGCCTGGAGACAGAGGTAAAAACACTGGTAGCGTAAACACTCCCATGTTGGGGATTTTCCAACCATGCCTAAGTAGTGACAAATAAAACATTCTTCCTTTGTGCTCTCACTGAATGTGCTCTCCCTGTATGGTAGAGGACTGCAGGATGAAGCCAGCAGTCCTGTCTTAGTCGTTAGAATATAAAAGAGAAATAACTAAAGAAATAAAACCGTTCTGTACCTAAGATATACTGTTAGCGCAGTGTGATAAAATCATGTCTTTCACCTGTCCGTAGGCAATTTGTTGGTGCAGACCTTGCTCTGCCAAGCAGTGTTCTTTGCAGTGCTTGCAATAAATTTGTGTATGGGTAGCTGCTAAAACTTTGCTTCCCGAGAGATGTAGAAAACAAAATGTTTTGTGGGCTTAGCTACAGGATATAATGTACAGGCAATACTGAATGAGAAGTGAACTTCAACAGCAGAGCAGGAGAAACCCTCTTTGGTGCACTGCTAAAATTTGCTCAGGGCACCTACAGCAGAAAATAACAGTCCAGGGATCTCTTAGTATTCAAATAACGTGCACCCTCTCGTGGCTTATTTCTGAAATAGGCTGGAGAAGACGGGATGGTTTCTGTTGGGAAATAAGCTGGGGATCAACCCAATCTGCTATTGATTTAAGAACAGACAGTGCTTCAGTGTGTCTGCTTGCATAGGGCTGGCCAGAGACACTTGCTTCTGTGGCAGAACTGGCATGCAGAAGGATCAAGCGTTTGTTCTGAGAGTCAGCTGGTATTTTGAACTTTATATTATATTGTTTAGGGCTTTATTGTTCACCTTTAGGCATTATAATTTTTCAGTAAGGTTTTTTTGGTTTTGTTTTGGTTTTTTTTTCACATGAGAGCTACTCATGCTACATTTACTGTAAACAGATTTCCTTCTCGGATGTTTTTCAGACTGGCTCATTCACCTTGCAAGGACACTTAAATGTGCAGGTGACCTCTCCTTTTGCAAGGTTTGGGTTTACAGTGGCCAGCATTGGAGACATCAATGGGGATGGATATGAGGATATTGCAGTTGGAGCCCCCCTTGAAGATAAACCTTCAAACAGTTCCTCTTTTGGCAGCATTTACATCTTTAACGGTGATAAAAACGAGATCAAGAGCTCTTTTTCTCAAGTATGTGTCTTGTTGGGAATTGCTTCCACTACCCCTTGAGAGGGAAAAGCTTCTATTGTTATAGCAAGAGGCTGGGAGGAAGGGCTTCCACATTTCATTTTCATTGGTGGGTGAGAAATTTGCAGATGTCAGATGGTTTATGTGACTCCACAGATTTCTACAGCAGAACTGCTCCTTAAGTATAGTTATTCACCTGTCTGCTTATGCAAGGGAGCTGGATTTGGGTGCTGCCTATAGAACAGCGTTGCCTTTTGCAAGCCTGCCCATCCTGCAGGAAGCTGAGTTAGTATTTTGCATCTCACAACTGTTACAAAATCATCTCTACAGAAGCCTTGTGAAAAGAAGGATATTTTCCAAAGGGCAAGAGAGAGATCCTGACTTATATTTGTTGATGTTCCTTCCTCCCTTTTAGAGAGTAAAAGCCTCTGAAATTTCTTCAGGACTGCAGTATTTTGGACGATCCATTGATGGTGGCTTTGATGTCACTAATGATGGCCTCCAAGATCTTACAGTAGGATCCCTGCAGAACATAGTTGTGCTCCGGTGGGTGCTACTTTTTAGCAGGCTGGGGAAGTGCTTCAGCGACAAATATAGAATCTGTGTTCCATACACTGTGTCATGATTCTATTTTTAATTCAGTATCAGTGGGACATAAAAAATATTTCTCAGTGATAGAAATTAATGTAAAATGTAAAGCCTTTAGTTCAAGTTGCAAAGGCTTTTGCCTTTTATGTCTAATGCTTTGAACAAGTATGAGATAGTGAATGTGAACTGATTAACATAGATCTAGGTCTAAGAAGACCTTGATGTCTGCAGTTCAGCACTGATAATGTAGGTCATTTAAACAAAAAACCAATTTCTTGACAGACTGTACCTCATTTTCAATCAGACATCTGGTAGCTGAGTGACCTGTGGAGTTCCCAAAGGCTGAGACATGGCAGACAGATTTGATTTTGTTCTTGTATTTTGTATTTGCAGATAAATTGTAGATAAAGAGAGAATTTCAACAGCTAGATAATGTGTTTATCTAATGGAAACATAAACACTGTGTTTAATTCTGAGACTGTAGCCATATTGGTGTATTTTGGCTGCCTGTTCCTTAAGACTCTTGGGATTTTGTGTGTTCTGAACGTTCCCAGCAGAAACTGGAACTATTCTGTAAATAGGCCAGCTTGGTCCAGGTGAAATACCATGGAAATACTGAGCAGCTCTTATTCTTGCTGCCAGGCTTTCTTAAAACATTTTTCCTGTAATGTTTCAGTTAAAAAATGTATATTTTATTCTGTTCCTTCTCTGTTCTTCACTGACTAGTTCAAGACCAGTTGTCCACTTTCTCACCAGCATGAGCTTCAACCCTGAGAGAATCCTAATTCTCCAAAATAACAGCATTGTAACAGCAACACTATGTTTTGATACAGTCTCTGCTTTACCAGTGTCTCAACAAGGTAATAAATGGGAATTGTGATCAGATTGAAATTTATGATCCTACACTGTCCTTGGAAACTTGGCACTGAAGACAATTTCTGGTAAATCTAACAGAGAATTTTGAAACTCTTGCAGTGTTTTCACAGTTATACATTCTCTACACGGTGGACTTAGATGTGAAAATGGCAAAGAGGAGGATGCAGTTTGAAGATCAGAACACCACGGCAAGTGGAGAGCTGTTGGTCAGCAAGCACATGTGCTCTGAGCTGCAGCTTTACGTGCTGGTAGGTGGTGTTGGTCAGACTCACTACAGGAAGAAGGGATAAAGGGATAGGATTTTCTAACAGAATCTGCATGATGATGAGTCTTTCTTGAAATGCAGAAATAGTACAGTGGGGTGGGGTTTCCTCAGTGTTAGACTGGCTGAGCATGTTTTACAGCTGAGGCAGGAGATGTGTTATGTTTCATTTTGGTTTGGATTGCTAAAAAAATCGAACTCTCCTCTTTTTGTGTGTATGTAAAGTATTTCTAATCCTAGAATTGTAGGAGAGGCATGAAGCTCTACAGGATTAAAGCAAACATAAGGAAACTGTTTTTCACAATGCATAACTGAATCAGCAAAGACATTATCCAGGGGATGCCATGGGAGCCAAATGCATAAAACGATCCAAAAACCCATTTGACAAGCTTATGGTCCACTGATGGCTATTAAACACAGGGGCCCAAAGAAAACACCTGAGCCAGGAGGTCCCTAAATATGCCAGGTGACAGAAGCTGGAACAGAGATGACGTGAAGACTTTTGCATTTTAATGCCCAGATATTTTCTCAACTGTTTTTTCTTCCTTTCTTGTAGCCATGTGACTTTGACTGTTTCTCCAGTGTTTTTCTGAGAGTTAAACACGAGCTCTATAAGAAAAATGATAACATGGAGTTTGCTGTTCCTATGCTAGACAGATACAAGCCATCAGAAATGCATTTTCAGGTAATAAAACAGAACACTAGCAAAGAACTCTCTCTCTTTCCAGGATGCAAAACTTTTACTACTACTAAATAAATAAATTAAATTGTGGTTTTCTTAGCCTTTGCATCTTCTGCCCTCTGCTAGTTACCTTAGTTATCAATACTGTATTCCAGGTAGACTTTAGGCCCAGGTTTTCATCAAACAGATACTCATATCTTGTTAAGAGAATCTCATCTCTAAGGTCCAACCTCAGATCTGCTAAAAAAACTGCTTTACTTTTGACCACATTTCTCCTTTGCCTATGCATAAAATGAGATTAGATGCTACCTGTGAAGAAGGCAGATGGTTTGTGTGTTTTGTGAAGTACTTTCCAGATCTTGAGCTCTACACTGGAACTTATAGTAAGACTTATCATTTACACAGTGTATTTAGTAGTAACAACTATACAATTTTCTAATGAAGTAATTTTAAACATAATGAAAATTATGTATTATATTTTTAGTTTATTTTAGTTGTTTGTTTCAAATTGATTATTTGGGAGGCTGCAAACTTCTAATAAAGTTAAAGGTTAAGTTTGATATCCTGTCTCCCCTCCTGCAGTTTAGCAGCAGGATTCCTGCAAGCTGATCTGGCTCTTTTTCACAATTAGTCTGAAATCTAAATCACAGCTTCTGAAAAAACTCCATAAAGCTCTGTAAAGAGGCAGCTTTTTGCTACTTAATAGGAGTCTTTCCACAAGTCAATATTTAATTAGCTGTCCATAAAGCATGGGACAGAGAAGTTAGGACAACATTTAGCACTGAGCAATAATGAACACTAATTACTATAGTCTCAGTACTCTTAGGGATTATGATGTTGATTGTACATTTATTTCCTGAGAATAATTCATGAGATTCTTGAGTGTTGGTCAGCATTGCTTAGTACTTATGTACCATCTAATTATTAATTATAATTGAACTTCTCCAGAAACATCAGCCACAGACAATAGATTTTTATTGGTGAATAAAACTCGCTAAAGGAGGTAACCTCATCTCTACAAAATAGTGTGTCTATAAGTTAGCACAGCATATGAACATATTTACTCAAGAAAAATGTATCATCTCTGGAAAAGAAATTAATATTATTGCCCTGTGGCAATCCAGGGGTGAACAACTGGCATGTCTTTAACAAGACCTTGTCCCCAGTGAATACTTTTCATGTTATTGCTAATAGACCTTCTCCTGGGAGTTGAATTACAAAATATCATCAATTTAGGACTGACTTATCACTAGAGGGTCTTTTATTTCCAACTTCTCTTAATTGAGGTCATGGGAATTTTGTTTTTCAGAGAATGTGTATATGTAAATATATTCTGAATCTGCTACTTTAGAAAAATTAGGACTGTTAGGATCTGACTTGATCTGTGTTTCCTTTCAGTTGCCTTACAAGAAGGACTGCAACAACAAGACCATCTGTACTGCTCACTTAACTTTGACAAGTCAGATTCAGTGAGTCATAGCAGTTCTATTATCCAGATTTTGCATTTAGTGTTCATATAAAATGTCATCTTTGTGTATAATCGTTTTCTTCAAATTCTCAGGAAAGATTTGCTGTCTCTTTGTTTACATTACTTTCTATCCAATTCATCCTTTCCATAACATCACGTTCATACAATGCTGTAACTGTGCATCCATGGGCGTTGCTGGGCTGTTCTAGGAAATCTCAGAGGAAAGACCAAGGTTAAAAAACTCTTGCCATCTTAAAATCACATTTCTGGCATTTAATTGCGAGCATGGGGGTTTGTTTTAGGCTGATGCACAGCGTAGCACTACAGCAAAGAGTTGCTCAGTTTACATAGCCTTAGACAAAGCAGTAGGCATCACTTCATTGTAAAAAGCTACCCTGGAGACTCACTGAAAAGATAATCAAGTGGAACAATGTTTAAAATCTATCTTGATGTAAAACAGAAATAAGAAAATGTTACATAAAGTTGAGAGATGACTGCCTTCAATATTAAGAAGGAAGCATTTTCCTACACACCCTGAAGAATACTGAATAATTAATTGGGCTATTGCATTATCCTGTGTGTGAAAGCATTTGGAGGCAGTAATTACCAGAATGCTTCAGGCCTCTTATTAACGAACCACCCTTAGAAGTTACAGGTCACCTATTTCATTTTTCTGTCTGCTTCTAGAAAGGAATTAGTGGTGGGCCACACTAAAGAAGTGACCATGAATGTTTCACTAACAAACAGTGGAGATGACTCGTACATGACAACTATGGTCTTGAACTATCCTAAAAACCTACATTTTAAGAAGGTGACTGTTGAGGTAAGATTGTAGAACAACTCTGCAGCTAGCAGCAGACTGCTGGAAGAACACCCAGTGCAGACTCCTATTAATTTACTACCTAAATAAATATTTTAAGTAAGGTCCAGGGAAGAGAAGGAGTATTTAAGTTGTTAGGAATAGAGCCTGAATACTGAATTTATCTGATTTAAGACTCCGAAGCTTTTATTGGGTTATTTGTACTTAATTTGTTTTATGGGAGCAGACACAGACTGAGTTGAATTTCCCAGCCTGTTTTTATTCAACATTAAAGAGCACTCCTGTTCTGTTGGCAGCCATCCTCTCCTGCTATTCACTGTGACCAACCAGTACCATTAACTTCTCTAGACTTAGCCTGTAACTGCAGAATTGGGCATCCAGTATTCAAGAGGACAACTGTAAGTAGAGATCATTATTTTCACTTTTCCCTACCTCTAAATGATACTTTCAGTAGCTGCTCTTGCATCCTCTATCTCTACAATTAGGCCAGAGCTGCTATTCTTTTTAATTCAGCCTATGGCTGGTGTGCATTTTCTCAAGACGAGATAATTCTCATATTCCTGCATTCTCCAGATGGGAATGATGAGCAGAAAATACATTAGCCATCATGTTTTAACTCTTTGCTGAGTTAAAGAGTATTTACAGGGTAATTGATATTTTGTTATGTCTTTCTCTTCCCTCAATATAGGCAAACTTTTCAGTGATTTGGCAATTAGATGAAAGCATATTCCAAAATAAATCTGCAATCACCATTAATATCACCAAGTGAGTATTGCTATTTTCAACACAAAATCCACTGTGAACTGGAAAGGAAGTACCAGAATTCCTCCTGGGTGTCCATGCTGTTTATCAGTCACTGGTTACACAAAACTATGCTTGTTCTTTTCAACCTTTTAAAGCATTTGGATCCATATGAAAAATCTTTCCTTCCCTTATGATAATTTTAGCTTTGCTCATACTTCATGATTTCAGTAAAAGATGGAGCACTCTTTAAGGTCCTATTTTAAGTGTAGTACATATTTAAAAGCTTGTGTTTTCTGAAGTGGTGAACTGGGTTTTAGCATCCTCCTTCCTTAGCAGGGAGAGCAGATGATTAAAGTATATAATCCAGCTCTCTTCCAAGTAAAGCTTTTGCTCCAAGTGATTGGGATGAAAACATGATCAGGGCATTTTTCTTGATTAGGGGATTTCTAATGGGTGGGGGGAGTTACCATTCAGATTCCTTTCTTGTCACCTTCCTCCCGTTAAAATTTATGGGGACTGATGAGTACACAGCATTTTTTTAGACAGAGAGTATCTTTAAAAAGGAAATGAGAACTCACCTCTGGCAGCTACACTTCCTTGCAACCACAGTTGAAGGCAAAGGTTTCTATATGAATTCAATCTCCAGTTTTGTGAGGGGCAGAAGCTTTACATTTTGATAATGGAAGCAGTGCTGCACAGTCACAAATTAGTGCTGGTTTGCAGGGAAAAAATTCAAGGCAATGGCAGCTTTCAAAATCTGTAGTAATAAAAGGCTACTCCAGCACTCCTGTACCATGTCACCAAGTGAGCTGGCACCTCTCCTTTCATTAATTACTGCCACTGTTTCCATCCCTCTTTTACAGTCAATATTAGCAGTTCTCAAACCACAGAAATAAAGGACCAAGACAGGCAAATAATGTTGTTTCATCCATCCTTTTTTTTTTTTTTTTAAAGCATAAATGAAAATAGCACCAGTCTGACTGAAGAACACGTCCTTGATGTCAGATATGCATTCACTGCGTTCCTTACCAAGTAAGTTTTAAGAATATTAAATTATATTGCATTACTTTAATCAATTAAAGGAAAAAAAGATTGAGAGGATGTCTGGTAAGATTCCAATCCAATTTCCATTTTAGAAATTTCAAGCACTGCAGATTGTCAAGTCACTTTCTGTGGTACTAGACAGCAAAAGTAGAGTGTGGAAGACAGAATAAAATGGTACCATAGGTAGGGGGGTACCGAGGGTCTCTAACTGCTTAGCTCTTAAAAAGCAGACTTCAAGACAGGTTCAAAGATGCATCTGACTGATAAGATTGCATCTATACACACCTGTGTAGACAGACTGCATACAGGAGTCCAGTTCTAACAAATCTGAGGATGCTATCTCTTAATTACTTAATGTATCCGGGTCATTGGATATATTGATTTTTAGTAATAATCTAATTCACTTTTAACTTAGTTTGATTTATCATTCTCTTTAGACCAGTTCCTTTAATGTACATTAATGTTAGCGAAGGACTTCTTGAAAACAAAGAATTCAAATTTAATGTAAGTATAGCTTCAAATTTAGGTCATCTGACCCATCTGCAATCAGGACTAAAGAACACTTAATACCTTGTGCATTTTCTTCTGTAGATAAATGGAGAAAATCGCTTTAACGCTACCGTCGAGTTACAGATTTGGGTTCCTGTCAGCACACAAGGTCACAACATAATAACGGTCAAAAATGCATCAGGAACACAGGTACTTTTTCTTTTTCTCTTCCCCTTATCTAATAGCTCTTCTCTGGTCCTTACAGAGGGAAAAAAAATCCATATTATTGCAGATTAGAATGTTTTTAAAACATACACTACAGAAACTTTTACATATCTCGGCATTATTCCAGGTACAAATTTTGCCAAATTGAACAAAAGTTCATTTTTAAAATTAAGAGGTGGAGACTTTTCCCATCTCTATCCCCAACTGGGATAAGAATATTTACCTTTGTCCTCACTGTCCTCACAAAAAATTGTATTTTTTCCTTAAAAAAAAAAAAAACAAACTTGTAAGAAAGACACTATAGTAAAGAAAGAACTTTTAATAATCTAAGACTAAAAAGGTAAGAAAACTTCTGTGAAATTCAGAACATTAATTGAGCCCGAAGAAGTATTTTTCCCTCTGCTCCTTGAATGTCAACTCTGTTTTCTCCTGCCCCCCCACCCCATCAAAAAAAGAACATATGGAAACATCTTAAAGCAGAAGACTTTTTTTTTTCCAGGTTTCTTAGACATTTTTGATAGCATATTGTACACACTGGTAACTGATTATAACGCTTCTTCATTGTGGCAACATTTTAAAAGATCACACATAAAAACCAGCACAGGAGAAAGGCAGTGTCAGTGTGTTAGTTCTTGGAACATTGCACTCCCTTGCTCACTGGAAGAGGCTGCTGTTCTGTAAAACTTCACTGGCTGACTCAAAGGTCAGTACTTCTTTGTGGAACTTAACGAGCTGCTTCTTTATTTTCCTCATGGCAGTTGTTGATTCCTTCTTCTTGTAGCTCATGTCCTTCAAAAGTTTATCTGATAAGTAGTGCAGCCAGAGGACGTTGCTGTGCGGATGATAGTCAGTCCAGCTGTTGAAGTTCTCGGCTTTCATTTGCCTGTAGATATCAAACTGGTAATCCCCTGTGCCTTGAAACAATTCTTCATCAGTGGAAAGGTCACAAAACACAGTTAACCCATCCTTCTCCAGCCGAGACAAGGTATAATCTATGATGTTGACATGAATCCCTGCTGTGGGGATTGTGTGTGTTGCCCCATTCAACACATAATCCAGCTCCTTCACGTGGGTTTTCTTTACCAGCACGTTCCCCCAGTGCAGGTCTCTGTGCTCGAAGTGCAGCTCCTGTTCTGCCACGGCCAGGGAAGCAGTGACCTGATGCAAAATGCTTTTTGCTGATGCCACTGAACTGAGCCTGTTTCTCATATACTCCAAGTCACTGCCTCCAAATTCAAACTCCAGAACCATGAAGAGCTGCTCATCCCCAAAAAGGTCTGGCCGATCATTTTCTGATCCCGTTACTTTGTGGTATTTGTCCCAAGCTTCCAGGAGATACTTAGGGTAGGCCCCTTGAACACAGTGCACAGAGTACAGGCTGATGAACCCCACAGTCCTGTTCACAGACTCTTCAGACAGAAGACTGAGTTCTTTTGAAATTATTATCTCAGGCAGAATCTCTCCAAAGCTCTTTTGAGCTTCACCATTTACTCTTTCAGTCCCCTCAATGGGAATTATTTTTAAGGCCACAGGTCCTCTCTCACTGTCGATCTGGAAGACCTCTCCAAACACCCCTTCTCCAATTTTCTTGCAGTCTTTCATCTTATCTAAAGGAATACATTCCTCAAAAGCGATAGGCCCCTCCTGGCAGCATTCCCCAAACACCTTCTCTGCATCTGTAAGCATTAGATCCAGGACAGAACAGGAATTACTGGGGGCCAGCAGGACCATGGAGGAAGCAGACCAAGTGCAGCACTGAGCTTTACCAGCAGACAGGGTTGCTTGGTACCCTGAAAGCTGGGATTTCACAGAAGGGGTGCAAAGAATGCTGCTGCAGGGACTCTCTTCTGTAGCAACTTTCTTCTTCTTATGGAAGGACAAAGATGCTCGAACTCTACCCCAGGAATAAGAGCTATTGAGGAGCGAATAGTCATTGTCTCTTACATCTACAGACAGCTCCAGAACACCCTTCTTAATTCCTTTTTGCCTCATCTGTGGCCTGAAAAAGGAGTTGTTGGGCTGCTGCTGTCTCTTATTTTTGTGCCTTTTTGGACGGAGCCTTGTTTGCCTCCCCCACCGGCTGGCACTGAAGCCACTGATACAAGCTTTTCTGCACGTACTTCCCTCTCCAGGAACAACCTTAGTATGATGTTTATTCTCCAAGCCTCCTTGAAGGCCCAGAGGAGATGATGGCTGCTGGCAGGCAGGCACTGGATCTGCTTTGTTGTTGCCTTTCGTGCTCATCAGCCACCCTGGCACCTCCTGAGGGTCCAAGACCACCACTGGCGTAAGCTGGTAGTTGTTGTTTTTGCCTCTCTGACAACACCAGCTTCCTTTGGGGGACTCTGTCCTTCGATCATCATCAGACGTGGCACTGTCACACGGTGCAGGGCGCTGTGCCTCGCCGGTAACGGCAGCTGCCCCAGGAGTGCTCGTGGCTTTCAGTGGGGACAAGGGAGGTGGGGACAGGCACCGTCCCCGCACCGATGCCCTCAGAACCCTCCCGGACTT